GATGACAGGCAAGAATCCAATTAGGAAGCTGTGCAGGTATCCAGGTGGGTATTCAAAAACCACAGCGAAAGCCAGCGCAGGAGGAGGGAGCAGGGAGGCATTTGTTGGTGCAGAGTTGGTCTTTGTATCCATGAAGTCATTCCAATTAGCTAATGTGAAACACCGGAGACACACCTAACCTATGTATAGATCCTGTCAGTGCTGATACACAAACATTTTTCTCTCATGGCCTTACAAAGCCTGCCAACTGTATTTGCTTCAATATGTTTTAAAAAAATGTCATAATAACTGACAAAAGTTGCTTCTCAAGGGAGTCTACAAGAGAACTATAAGAAAAACTCAAAAATTCAGCTTTACAAGAGTCAGATTCAGTTCTGGAAATATCTGGGACCTCTGGTGGCCAACTTGGGCCTGCATGATGGCTCTCCCACTTACGACTGTTAAGACCTTGATTAAGTTACCTCATCATTCTCAGCCTGTTTCTTCGACAAACTAACACAGGAACACGGACCGCACACACGTGCTGTGAAGATCAGATGAAATACTGAATCTTAACGGGCCTAAAAGTACATGGCACGTAATAGGTACTCAGTAAGTGTTAGCCCCTACTTTTCCAATACTGTGTAGGGATAGCACTGTTTCTTTTATTTTTATGTAAAATTATAATTATCGGTTCTGCATCCAACTTTCTTATTTGATGATGAACTGCTAGAGTGACCACATTGTTGCCTGGCCCAGTGTAATCGTTCAGGAAATCTCTGTAACATGATGCAATGAATGAATGGATGAAAGGATGAAATCACTATCTCCATAACCTGTACTGCACCGTGCATACTGCAAGCTATTCTTCATATACCCACTCATGGCAGAATGACTTCCAGAGGTGACTTCCTAAGGCTAGCCCCAGGCGGAGCAGATTTGGCGATGAGGGAGGAGGCAGACAGGTACTCACAATACACAAATCTTAAAATCCCAAGAGCACATAGCAACTTGCTGCATTGTGATCCTGTGACTCAAGTTTGTAAGTTCAAATTCTGGGTTCAAACAATTCCAAGGTAACTGGTAACCTCTCATTTAAGCCCAAGTGTCCCAGAAAGCCAAAGCCAAACACAGGGGCAGCTTAGGAACTTGTCTTAGCCTCCCTTACCAATGCCTCCCATGATAAAAAAAGCTTCCAGGAAGACAGAGAAGAGCACTTGGAGGGAGGGATGGCCAAGGTCCAGTTGGAAACAAGCCTCAGCATCTGGATGGAGCGACTGCATGGGGTCAGTGTTCTACGGAAAAAGTCTGGGCAAAAAGCAATGTCTTTTGCACAACTATTCTGAAGAGAGTATTGGCAAGCATGAGCCAATCTTTGATGGGTGATTAGTGATGAAACAAAAATCAATCATCCATGGGAAGGTAGCATGTGCCTTTCTAAGAAGCAAATATCACAGCACAAGCTTGAAATGAGTGAAAAATGAGTCCTATTCTCAGTCAAATGAAACTGCAAGGGCTTCAGAGCCAGAAAGGGTTCTCTCCTATTTCTTTCTTCATCCTGAAGATAACCAGATGAAGACTGTTTTAAAGTACCAATCTGTTTGCATACTTGGAACGAAGGGTTTGCTTTGTAATGAAAGATCTATATTTAATTGCAAAAATGAGACAAAATACCTTTTTTTGCAAATCTGTGGTTTATATATTTGCTTTAATTCCTTTCCTTTCCTTTTGTTTTCTTTTTTTTTTTTTTTCCTTTACTTCCCTTTTCCTCTCCTTTATCCTTTCTCTTCTCTTCTGCTTTAGGTGGTATACTTATGACTGTATTATGGTATGGACAAGATGCTACCAGAGCAGACGCTTTCAAACGTGGCTTAGTAGAGAAGATGTACATATGAAACAAAGAACAAAAAGGAGGCACTTTTCTCTTCTCGTGTCCTGTATGATGACAATGTGTCTTAAAAACCGGAGATCAGAATTTACAAGAGAATAAACCAGAATTAGTAAATGGTAAGGAAAGGTGAGTGGCAGAGGGACCATATAAAATGGCCATTGATGGTGGGTGAGGAATCTCCCCAGGCTGTACTTGCTACCTTGAGTTTCAGTAAAATACAGATAATAACTGTGCCTATTCTCATAAGAATTTTGAGAGGATTAAATGAGATAATATGTAAAAAGTTCTTGGAATTGAGATGGGGAAATCAGTCTTCAAAATAACATTAGGCATTGTGATTATTATGAATATCATTCAAGGTTTAGTAAGATTATGTATATAAATTCATCTCAGAAAAAACATCTAATAAGCCACAATTATTATTATTATTGTTAATATTATCATCATTATGGTTATCCTTTTTATTTTATAGCTGGCTTCTTTCTCTTTGCTTGGCTTCTTTGGACTGATGGTTTATTGAATATGTGCTTTGCTCTTGATTCAGATTTTGCCCCACTATCCTAGCTTTTGGATTACCTAAAGATTTCACTCTCTGTAACCCAGGGGTCACCCATACTCCATGCCTATGTCCAATGTGTATGCAGAATTGCCCAAAGTAGAGCTCCAAACGCAGCCTGACTGGTTGATGGCACAAAACTAAGAGATAAAGGCTAGCAATCCCCATGACACCTGTCAAAAACCACAGTGGAATGTAATGAAGATTTTTTAGCAATGACAAAATAAAGCTCACATTTTTAATTTAAATTCAGGCTCACGAAATAGGCATAACCAATTCTTATCCATGAAGGTATGTCATAACATTTGGGTTAAGATGGCTTGCATCCATGGCCCTAGAGCAACCTTTGAACCAAATCCTGGGGAAAGCATTTCTAACTGATACAGATGTCTGATTCTCACACTAATTCTCTGAAAGCCTATTGATGGATAGGTTCATGGACAATGCACCCTACACAAAGAACTGGTTTACTGGATCTTTATTTTAAACAGCTTCTGGATTATGTCATCTATGAGTTCTGGGTCTGCTAAGGGTGATTATACTATGCTGTGATGTTGAAAAGGGCTGTGTTTCATTAGTGGGTTTTCATTCAATGTGCCACAAAAAAGGGAAAGAATATTTGACTTGAATGTTGTATAAATACACCAAAGTAGTTTAAATAGGAGAATGTAAAGTGGGCTCCAGTCCCACTGTGCTGTAGGCATACGATGATGTCTTCCTTTTCAACTTTTCTAGCACTGGTTATTAAGCCCAATTAGATATTATTTATTTCATACTCACTAGGCTTCCTTATCAGAGTATGAGCTCCTTAAAACCAAGGAGTCATTAAGTCTAATTCACTTAATTTATTCCTGTAGCCTGGTGTAAGAGTGAGGGCATAGAGAACATGCTCTTTGAATCCAACACTTACCTATGCTTCTATCTACTCTTTGGCAGTTATGTATAAAAAAGCAATACACTAAGAAATGGAAACTTGCAGTTATTTACATGCATATTTAGCTGTGGGTCAGATCACTCTTAATTAGGCTGAACATTTAGAAGAGTTGGTAAGGATTCAGCCACAAACATATTGTCAATATAATATTAAATGTAAGGTTGGATAATTGAGTCTAGGTCTCAGTTTCCCTTGCATTCCACATCCAGTCTCTTAGAAGCGACACTCTACTTTGTGAGAAAATGACAGTGTTACTCCCCGGCCCAAACCCTTCAGTGGCTCCCCCACAGCCCAATCTCTTGACCTCAATTCTTAGTCAACATTGCCACTATGCTCAATTAAGCCCTTGTGGCTTTTTGTCTGTGGACTAAACTGGTCTCTCTGACTCTGGCCATGTGTTCTCAGGCTTCACCTTCATGGCTGCTAGCCAGAGAGAGCTCTTTACAACTGAGACTTGAACATGTCTATGTACTCTTCTGAACTTTCACTGGTTCCCCTTGGTTTACTGGATGAAGTTCAATTTCTTAGCATGTTTTACAGGGACTTCTTAAGATCTGGTCCCTGTTCTGTTCTCTGACTCGTAAGGCATTCTTTTAAGAATAATTTATGCCACAGATGAAATTCTGGAATATTTGCAATTTCCCTCAAATAAGCCTTGTTATTTTTCACTTCGATGTCTTTCTTCCCATGCATGTCTCCTGCCTAGAAGACTATCCCTACCCTTCTTTGCCTGCTTTGTCCCTATTTGTCTTATATGGCTCAGCACAAATGTCTTCCCCTCTGCAAAGAGTTTCCTAATGTAGCTTTGTGCCAATTCTGTATCTTGTACCTCTGTTACTGTACTCATCTCACTTTTATGGATATTCTGTCTCCCCCATTAGACAATCCCAATAATTCAAGAACTTTATTAAGTTGTTAATGCTGTTAATAATTGTTGTTAAAATCATTACATACCTTGTGTGAATAGGCACTGAGCTGGATATAAAGAGGAGCGTGATATGGCCCTTACCTTTAAGGAGCTCACAGTGTTCTAGAAAGGACAAGTTAGCAATCAATAAGAATAAGGGAGTGTGATAAGAGCTGGAGTTGTAAAGGGACAAGTAAAATTGTCCAGGTGGTAAAGAATTCCCCACACAGGGAAACAAGCACATATAGAGGAGTGGAATGATAGGCGCCACAGAGAAGCTGTGAATGGGGCAACTAGCATGTCAGGTGATGTGTGGGACTCTAGGGAACAGACCATGAAAGGTATGGTGTGCTCAGAAAATTATCTGAACAATGTACCAAGGGCTATTGGGGAACCACTGAAGGGTCTGGGCTGGGGAGTAACATTGTTATTTTTACAAAGTAGAGTCCCACTCTCACTGCCATGAGGAAAATGGATTGATGTGGGAAAGATCAGGTGAGATGAAAGGACAATCAGCACTGCCTGGAGGGACATTTATTCGTGTAGCAAACACACGCTACACATGCACTGTGATGCACATGCTACACATGCACTGTGCTGTGTGGCGAGAGAGTTAATTCTGACCCAGGAGCCTGCAAATCTTCCAGATACTGGGTATATGGGTAATATGACAGAATGGGCTACTCAATGGCATAAAAAAATTCATGGCTTTACTAACAAAGTGTCAACTTACCAATTTTCCAGTAACGCTCTGACCACCTTCATTCAGCCAGAACCCAGGCACCATGGCTGAGAAATAAGGCCCCCAGACACCTGGCACAAAAATCGGGTCTTTGCTGATCTGGAAAGAAAGAGACAAAGTCTGTGAAAACATTGACTCTCAGGGCTAGAGGGGGCCTTATCTCCTCCCACCTGACGTTTCCATGACTTGGAATTCAGCTTCTTATAGAATACCGTTTATAGTGGCGAAATCGCTCTCTCCAAAGAAAGGCCACAATTCCTTTTATGGAAACCTTTATGATAGATTTAATGTCAAGGTAGCAAACATGATCATTTTGGAAGGAAACTGATAAACATTTCCTTGCTGGCTTTCTCTCTAGGGCAGAGATTGCAAAAATGGTCCCTATTTTCTACCCTTCCTGTATCCACGTCCTTTGCAATGAGACTTTGCAGGTCCCACATTGAGAGGTGGGTCTATCTCCATAATCCTTGAATCTAGGCCAGTCTTGAGACTTGTTTTTCCAAGAGAATGAGGCAGAAGTGACACTGGGCAGTTTTCCAAGCCTAGGCCTCAAGAGGACTGTGTGCTTCTATTCCTTCTCTTGTTCTTTCACCTTGGCCATGAGAACATGCTCAGGCTAGGCTATTGCAAGAAAGGACATATGTAGCAGAGCTGGGTCAGCTAGGTTGTTCCACATAATATCCCAGATCAGGCGTCCTCAAAGTATGGCCTGCGGGCCACATGCGGGTGTTTTTGCCCATTTGTTTTTTTACTTCAAAATAAGATATGTGCAGTGTGCATAGGAATTTGTTCATAGTTTTTTTAAAACTATAGTCCGGTCCTCCAATGGTCTGAGGGACAGTGAACTGGCCCCCTGTTTAAAAAGTTTGAGGACCCCTGTCCTAGATATATGAGAACACCCAGGAAAGACCAGGAAATCTTCCTAGGTGACCAGCAGTTGACTAGCCAAGATCATCAGAATGATCTAGCCAAACAATAGGCTTGTGAGCAAAAATAAATGTCTACTGTTTTATATCATTAACATTTTACGGTTATCTGTTACCTAGCATTTTTATGGCAACAATAAAAGACATATTTCTTTCCTGGCTAGTTTCCAAACATTTACTAGCTACCTAATAGCAAGCCCTTCCCTTCTATTGGGTGCTGGGGACACAGAGATGAATCAGAGTTCTTACCTTCCAGAAGCTCCCATCCACTGGGGAGATATACAGATAAATAGACAAACAGAATACAGTGCAGTCCATGGGATGGTAAGACAACATATAGAGATGTGCACAGGAAGGAGGAGTGTGCTAAAGACATATAAAAATTGAGGCCACCGATTAGATATATACCCCTAGGCCAACTGCCCATAACCAAGTAGCCAAAACTTAAGTCATCCTGATTTCCCTGAATTGCTAGCTCTAATCATAAACAGAGTACAAAACATAACAACTTTTATGTCCTTGTCAACATGATTTAATGAAATTAAAACGTAAGCTTTACATCCGTGTCAGCATGATTCAGTGAAATTTAACCAATCAGCTATAGATAAATCAGTTTAAATAGCTTTGTTTGTCCTTAAAAAAATGCTAATCTATAACAGCCAATCACAAAATAGGTCAAAAAGTACTTTCTCCTTTATGCTTTATAAACTGTGCTGTAACTGCTATAAGGTGAGCTTCTTACCATTTGGTTTGAAATCTCACTGATTGCAATCTATACTTTCTGTATGATAATAAAGTTTCAATTTTTCCCTAACTTGTTCTGATTTTACTTTTGACAAGTGGAGTGGTACAGAGATGGCTTCTTAAAAAAAGGGACATAAGCTTAGTTTAAAAGACTAGTAAGATTTAGCTAGATGAAGTGGAACAGACATTCTAGTTGGAGGGAAAAACTTGAACAAAGGCACATGGGTGAGAGAGAGGTGTTCTCAGTAATGGAGATACTGCAGTGGTTTTTTGGTGCTGTGGTAGCATACTGTGGCAGTTCCTTTAAGTGTAAGGAAAGTATATAAAGAGATGACCCAGAACAGGTAGGGATAGACCACGTGTTCACTCATCTGCAATGGTACGTGCTTCTCACCCATCCAGCAGAAACAGATGCTGAAGTCAGATTTATGGTTGTGGAAAGGTTTAGCTAGAGGGTAAGATAGAAAAGGGAGCTAGGTACACAGGGTCTACTCGACCAGGTCTTGAGGCTGGGCAGAGAATATATTCATTTATTCAACAAATCATTACTTAGCCCTTACTATTATGCTTGGTACTGTTCTAGGTCCCAGGGATAGAGACATGAACTGAATGCCCATCATTTCTGCTCTCATGAACTTTCTATTCCAGCATTTCAGCATGGGGACAGATCTTTAATTATCTTAACCTCAACTATTCTGGTTCCCTTTTCACTAAACTAGTAATTCCTCAAATCAGTAGGATTTCCAACCCCCAAATGGGAAGGGGGGTGAGGGAAGGTTAAAAAAAAAAGATATAACTTTGTCAACTTTAAATTTTGTCAAATAAGGGCAATTTATTCAAAAGGGATATTTAACATCGAAAATAGAATAATCGTAGGGAAAAAATACTTCTACAAGAAAAGATAGTTTGGTTTACAGTGACATATTTATTCATTTTCTTACTGGCTCAACAGATATTTCCTGAGTTGCCGTCATGATCCAGGTCTATGCCAGGCATGGAGATAAATGGTAAACAAAAAGCACATTCCCTGCCCTCAGAGAGCATCCTATATAGAGAGGGATACAGATAAGGGTGACCAATTATGCAGGTTTGACCAGGACTCTCCCAGTTTTAGCACTGAACGTCTTCTGTTATGGAAAACCCCTCAGTCCCAGGCAAACTGGGGCAATTGGTTACCCTAAGACAAACTTAAATCATTACACAAATGTATAATGACAAACTGAGAAATGAAGGAAGGAAAGCCAATTGGCACTATGAGAACATACAAGTGAGGTACCTTATTTAGTCTAGGGGTCAGGGAAGGCGTCCCTAAGGAAGCAAGATGTGAATTAAGATGTAAAATTGCATAGAAATTATTCAGGTAGGTGAGCGTCTGTGTGTGTGTAGTATGTGTATGTGTGTGTACATATGTATATGAGAGACAGACAGACAGACAGACAGACTATGGAGAAGTTCCAGCCACAAGGAACACATACTAACTAGTACTTATTTTTGTCATTATACCTTTCTTTGCCCAGTGAAAATTTTATCAAGTGCCAGTCCTAGAAACTTTTACCCTAAATTGCATCCCAGAGCTTCTCTGGGCTGAATAAGATAGTCCATATTCATAACCACTTAGGACCCAGGGTTTGGACAGGTAGATGGGCACCCACCAAAGCCAAACCATTTCTTGTTATGCCTTGTACACTTTCCCTTCCAGAACTCTTAGCCCCATAGCTAAGTCTCGGGGAGGTTGTATGGAAAACCTCCATTAAACCTCCCTGAGACTAGTAAATGTTTGACCAAAGTATGATTTAAACCAAGGCAGATGTTAACCTCAAACTCCACAATAATGTTTGTTTTTTTCACTTGTACACATAAATTGCTTCAGAAGCATATGTATCATTCCTCTTCCTTTCACCCTCAGTCCCACAATTTGAGGGTGTTACTGTGTCGGCTGCAGCAGGACTTCACTAGAAGATCATGGCTCTGCTGCTCAGAAATGTCAGGTGACAGCTTTGCTTAGTTCTGTCCAGGGAGAAAGTTTTGAGTTAACTCCTGTTTGTGCTCACTCATCTGGAATGGCACATGCTTCTCCTCAGACATCCTGTGTAAATCAGGGAGCAAAGAGCACTTACAATCACTCCCAAGCCCTGTGCTCTTGGAGGACACAGGTACTAGTTTCAGAGACAGAGAAGACAATGCACATTTGTGTAAGTATGTGTTCTTTAATCCTTTTCAATAAACCTAAATATTTGAAAATATTTTTTGTGAAAGTTCTTTCCATTCTGATGTCTATCTTGGCTTGGAGACTGCCCTGGGACCCAAAAGGAGGGAACTCTGTACCACACTGATGACAGGTGTCCATATAGGACACTGACTTCCCAGTAATAATGGTGCAGTTGGCAGCAAGAAGAACAGCTAAGACTGGGTACATAAAAGCCTCATTCTAAGCACATTAGAGGTATTAAATCACTTAATCCTCACAACAACCGTAAGGGAAGATTCTGTCATTATTCCCCTTGTACAGATGTGTAAATGGAGGCAGAGAGAGTTAAATAACATGTTCAACATTACAAAAACACAAAGCAATGGCTCCACGCTCCACAGGTACTATATTTGTCTCTGTCAAATTATAGTCTCGTTTTTAGCCTATCATTGCTTCTCCGAGTTCTTCATCTGTCTTTGAAGGGCCATGAGAGCAAACATAGACTTACTCAAATTGAACAAAACCTCCTGGCCTTGATGACAATTAGGTTAATGACTCTTCATTTCCAAAAGGCTTTTGTTAAGTTTTCCCTGATATATCTGTGCATAGTGGAGGACAGAACTTGGGCTGAGACAAAGATCCATCTCGATTCTGTTCCTGACTCTGCTGCACTCCGGCCAGGTGACCTTACACAGGGTGGCCTTTCTGAGCTTCAGCTTCCTCAGCTCCAAAATGGGAGGAGTGATATGAATGTTGCAGGACTTTTGTGCAGATCAAATAAATTGTCACAAAATACAGTGAATTATATGTTCAATACCAAATGAACATTAGCTCTCCTTGAAAGGAGGCACATATGATGGTGACTGAACAACCACAGCCCAAAGTAATTGTGACCATGCAAGGAGGTCTCTAGATTCCCCCGGTCTAATTTTAGTCAATATGGTTAATAATGAAGTAGAACATGATGTAGATGCTAAGCTTATATTTTCAGATGTTAACACATGGAACGATTGCTTATCATGAGACATGGCTAAATCAGGATTCAAAATTACTCCAAAGAACTAGAACACTAAGCAAAATTCAACAAGAAAACAGTTCAGATTTATTTAATCATATATAGTTAAAAATTTGCACTTAAAGGCTGCTAGGCTCAGAGTCATGAAGCTGTGCCCATATTCTGATTTCATGCGGGCTCAATTTAAAGTTCTGCATTTTACTTTAAATAAAAGATCATATGGTTT